CAAGCTGACCAACCTCAGGAGCCTCTTCCTACCATAGAAGTTTGCAAGATCTCTTTGCAGGGCCACCCTCAATTCTAGCTACAAATTTAAGGATGTTTAAATGTCTTGGAGGGGATCTTCAGAAATCCTTGTTCAAATACTCATTTTACAATCACTTTTTCTATTAAAAGGCATCCTGCACCTATAAACAGCAAGCATGTGTGTACTAACTGAGACTGCACTCATATCAGATGTCACAAGTTAAACAGAGCAAAATTTCTTAGCTAGTTAGACAAAAGCATACCTCACTAAAAATGATTCCTCTAAAAAGAAATCATTAATTTTGATTTCTTAATGGGAACTACAATGTTTCCAGTGAAGCACAACAATTTTGCAAGTTCAGTTTTGTCAAAAAACAGTTTTCATTTAAAAAATATTATGATGGGGGAAGACTGGCCAGTATAATTCATTTGATCCTCAAGCATTTCCATGTATGCTGATAGGGGACCAGTTGGATACCATACACAAGGGACAGAGCAGGGCAATTTCTGTAGAGAAGATCAACAAAGAAATTACAGGCTCTGAAGGACAGCAAAGCATTGCAGTTGAAAGGGTGATAAGCCAGTGACCTAGGGTGCATGACATATATTTAAGATCTTCCCAACCAGCTGTGATAATTAGGTAACATTAGATTATCTCTCCTAGTTTAGGTGTCTGAAGTTAAACATCTAAATTTAAGTTGGTCATCTTAGTCTGTCTTCACAGAGACTGTGGAGAAAGCGGTATCTCCAGAGATGTTCTCTACTTCCATTTTCCATTTACACTAGTTCAGAAAAGTTGCTATTGGATGCACCTCTTTCTCTCCTTTATCTGAGAAAGCAGCCGGTTGTCTAGCTCAGCATTACACAGCCAACTTTTAGATATGTAAGGGTAGTGGAAGAAATTCTAGTCTGCGCTGCATTTTGTTGGCTGCATTCCAGTACAAGTAGCAGCTCTTTGACGACACTTTCCCTTTGCAATAACAGATATTCTCCACCTCCTCTCCTGAGCTGAATCTTTCTTAGCATTGTTGCATATTAAAGCACTTCTGTGCTCCAGTGCCAAGTTGGCTACGTTTCACTTTTGGATGCTACCCAAATACTTTGTAGACTGCTCTGAATTCCTTTGGGATAAAACAGGTTACACAAATCTTGAGTTACTGTGCTGTGGAGGAAGGACAGTAGAACTGACTCATCATGTTGATACTCACAAGAATGTTATTGCAAATGGCCCCAGCAGTTGTTTTGTTCATACTCCTAGCTGAGTTTATCCTCAGGCTGATCAGGTCATCCTAAGATGGAGCATTGCACACAGCCACCAAAGTACCATTAGGAAAGAGCAGTAAGCATTAACTTGTGGATTTCTAAAATAGCTCAGTAAGTCAGCTGCCTATTTTGAGTTTAATTTCAGTGAGTTTTAGCAGCACAAGTTCTTTAAAGTCTGCTCAAAACCCCAATAAGGTGGATAGTCCTTGAGGACTAGGATCATCATCCCAATATTCCTATCTTTAACTGTAAGTCTGACATATTTGGTTCGTTCATTTAACGCATCAGGTCTTAGGATCTTGCCGTGACCAATTTGTAGTCTTTATTAACAAAAACTGTAGTTCTCACACTATGCAAAGGCTCACATAGGCTCAAGAATGTGATTTACACCTTAAAAGGCTCAGTGGACATATTGAAGAGAAAAAGAAAATAATCATCAAAAAATAGCTCAGTGAAAAGATTTTTGCATTCCAGCACTGTCCTCTCATACTGAGGGGCACAAAGAGGAATGAAAAGTTTATGGGCCACCATACCTTCCTTATGCTTTGTTTAATAAAAAATTATAGAAGTAACTGTGCACTCTCTCATGATGCAGACCAAGAATGTGAACGAGGAAAGAATTATGGTCTCAAAAGAGAAAAAAAAAACATTCAGGTTAATAGTCTTGCAAATTTGACTCTGTAGTCAGGGAAACCCACCCACCTACCCTTATGCTCTCTGGAGAGCTGGTCACACACACATTAATGCTGGCTGAGATCATTAATTTTATTAAGCAAGTCAGTTACCTCCTCAGTGATACAAATAAATAAGAGACTGGTGTTAGAGAAATAGTTTCTATAGCAACAGAAGTTGCTTAAAGATTTGCTAATTCTTTGCTGTGAGATGTTAGCAGATGTTCTGGATGGTATGTCATCTCCCTCTTAGCCATGTTTTCCTTACATATTCAAATGATGGATAAGAGGATCGTCCATTAGAAAACTGATTTTCACAGGCATTTTTTATATTGTTTATTTGCACAAATTTTTTGGATATCCAGTGTTCATTTTGACTTCCAAGATTTTACAGAGAGAAGGAGACTTGGGAATCTTCATCTATTGCTTTTCAGAGTGTAGCTCAGCATTTCAGAAGAAATTTTGATACTGGATGTTTCCTTGATAGCTGCCAGAATCTGCAGTGAGAGGCTTAAAGTGCATAAGCAATCTGTCCCTCAAATACTCGGTGTAACTTGTAATTAGCAGCAGACTGAGGACAATTTAAGAGCATCTTATAAAAAGAAAGGCAAAATTTCAGTAGTCACCATCTGCTGTTTGAGCCATGTAACGCAGCCTGTGATATAGGGTCCAGGAAAGAATTTGTCCTGTTCAGAGTCACGAAACCAGTGGGACCAGTTATCCAGTCCCTTTTCTAGGGTTTCTTCCCCTTGAAGTATGGCAAGCTGGAATTTCCCCACCTGAGAAAAAAAAAATTTCAAAGCCTGTTGGTCCCCTGGAAAATCCAGTCCTGGAAAACCTCCATTCCCAGGGTGAGAATTGTAGTGCAACTACAACAGGGATATTGCACAGGGCTCTTTTGTTGCTCCCTACAGCCCAGTAAACAAGACAAGAACTTGCTGCCTTTCTGGCCAGTATGACCAGTCATGCTTACATCTGCCTACCTAGAGAGGGCTCACCGGACTCTGACATGGCCAAATGGGGAGTAAGTTTACTTCATAAAGTAGGAGCTATCAGATGGTACACAATAAATACAAGCTAGTTTTGAAAGCAATTTTTAACCCCTCTGTGCTGTATTCTCTTTCAGGAGAGATATGGGGAACAGATACGATGGGGACTGGGCATGGTGGTCCATCTCTGATGGTACCTGGGTAGTAGAAAGGTACCCAGACTGCACATGAGATAAATTGAAGATGCTCTCAGTCACTGGATTGCACATTAGCTGGGAAGAAAACCACCTGCTGTGGCATGTCCTCCCTTGCAGGTGTGCCACATCCATTCCCAGCATCACCAAAAGAGAAGCTGAAGAGAGCCAAAAGATGCCCAGGAGAAAGGAAAGAGCAGCGCTTTCTGTCACGGAGCTGTGCTGTATGCCGTCAGGGATCTCTGCACACAGGGCTCTGTAACGTGGACGTGCCCCTTTGGTGACAGGAGCAATGACACTTCCCTCTGGGGATGACACTGCATTGCTAACCCTATAGCAGTTTCCACAGCTTCTGTGTCCCTGATTCAGCAAAGACTCCAAGCACCTAATTTTCCATTCAAATTTTTGCAAATATTAAAATTAGTAGGATATTTATTAGGAGACTTGACTGGAGTGTGGCATTGAGTTGTATCTAAGAGAGTTAGACCAAGCTCTTAAATCATTGCGGTCCTTTTCTAAAAGCAAGCACAGAGAATGTGAAGCAAGTGTAAGAGCCAACCCTTATTCCTTTTGAGACCAGAGGGTTCATGAAGCGAGAGTTTCTCATGACAGACAAAGAAAGGAGCACAATGCATGTGCTTATCATTGTCTTCTTGCTGACAGACATACCTGAAATGGAAAATAATAATAATAAAAAGTTTGAGGCCCTCCCAGAGAGCCTGACTGCCCATCCTGTGAGTGCCATGAAAAGAGCTTTTCATCACAGGAGCCACAGTTCTCAAATGGAGCATGTTTTATCCAGTATCCATTTCTAGTTTAAAGCATGGGTGTCCCCTACCTCAGATTTCAGTGGCAACGGAGGAAAGTCTGAATGGGAGGTATGTAAGGCGGTGCTGCCTCGGCACTGCTTACAGTCCCAGAGAGGCTCAGGTCTCTAACACAGTGCAGCTATTTCAAACCCTTTCACCTGCCTGCAGCCCAGAGGTTGCTAATAGTTGCCTTACTGATTCCCTCAGCTTCTCCCACTGCCCCATCACACTTATGTGAGAGAAAAGAGTACTTATGGCCCTTTTAGATTTTATTAGCAAAGCTGTAATGCAGCCTAGAGTCATACAAAGTGCTGAAAGTGTATCGATACAGAGCAGTCTGAATATTACCCAATCCTTAGAAACTGCATACTTGCCCTGATATTACTGGATAATTATGGAAAGTTTGCAATTATCCCCTGCCTTTTGATGCTATGGGTCACTAGCTATCATTGCGTACCGGTTTCCTGCAAAGCAATTCAGTAGAGAGAAGCATGTTTCCAAAGCACAAAAATGTGTCTATGAAATCACACCGTGAAGCACTTTTAGTCCATGGGATCCTACAAGCAGGTTTTTTCTCGTCTCTCAGTCACCTACATTTGAAGTGGGCACTTGGGGATGTCCCTTTAACTGATGTTGCCTCTGCAGTCAGATTGGCTGTATCGCAACATGGCAGTTGCAACACCCATTGCAAAAGAGCCTCTCCTTCACTTTGAGAAGCTGACTAGTAAATACGCCACTGAAAATTTGTCACACCAATAGTCCAAAGATGCAGAGAGAGAGAGAGAGAGAGGGGGGTATACATATTAAGAAGCCCTTTGTGCCTCTTGAATAGACAGATTATAAATACAATTTATTCTCAGAGACTCCACATTTTTGAGTGTATGGACGTTGGGAAGAGTATGATCCTGTCGGCTGTTACAGTGATGCATTTCTCTTACGATACTTTTCTCTCTGTGCTAGAGACTATAGCTACATTGTCTTGGTAAAAGACGTATATATTGTCCTATGTTGTGGAAGTATTTTTATCCATTTTGAATTACCCTTTCGCTTGCAGGTACGGCATGAATTGTCTTATCCAGTTTGAAGATTTTGCCAATGCTAACGCTTTTCGTCTCCTCAGTAAATACCGCAACAAATACTGTACATTCAATGATGATATTCAGGGTAAGTACAGTTAGGAAAATGCAAATGTAACCTTCACCTTCTCATGAGGAAAGGTGATTAAGATCACAAGACTGTTTACTATACAATACTCAGATGTGTGACAAATTTTAGAGTTTACACATAAGCATTTAAAAATATAAACAAAAGCACAGCAGTCTAAGTTGAAAAAGGAGTGTCCATTGTTTTTAGTAATTTAGCTGTTCACTGCACCAGTGTTGTTCAAGGCAGAAAGTAGATCATGTGCTTTAGATTATTAAGGTAATTTAGAGAGTTCCATTAATTTTCTATAATTTAACTAAAACAGTGATGACGTTTTAACAGTCGTGCAAGGCTTTCAGTTTCCACGAGCCAGGTGGACATTAACTGATCCTGGCAATGTCCCTTTATTGTTATCCCCCTTATTACATGCACAAACAAAAAGGTAAACCAACTTCTTTCCTCTCCACGGACACTAACTCCAGGGAAATCTGAGAACAGATATGTTCTCCCCTGCAGTGGTTAACATAACTCTTCCAGCACCAAAGAGAAATGACAGCAGCAGAGCTGGGGCTATAACCAGCACGTCTCCCAGGCCCTGTGACGCTCAGCGGTCAGCAGAATTGCTCAAGTGCGCAGAGGGATGCAAGCTGCCTATTGCGGGCACCCTGGTCTGGTGCTGACTTTGCTTTAGACCATTGGAAGAGCTGTTTGCTCATCCGACAGGGACAGGATCTTCCCAAGTGATTACAAATAACCAGTTCTTCTCTTGTGAGTCCCTTCATTTTTTCTTCTTTTCTCTAGTCCTGCTTGCATCATGCAGAAATTTCCAAGGTTTGTTGATTTAATTATTTGCAGGCAGTTGGGCTTTATCCTCACTTGGACTTGAAAGAGACTGAAAGAAATGCCAGTGTTATTTCTCACACAATATTGGCTCTTTTGTGAGCAGATTTGCCAGCACACATCTGCTACCCATCTAGCAATATTTAACACTGTGTGTAACAGCTTGTTCATATCTGTCATGGCACAAGAGGGAGTAAGACCCTGGCTTGTGGGAATATGTTGGTGTAATGGGATGCATGGTCCTGCTCAAAGACACTTCCATGAAGAGGGTTTAGAAGCAGAGGAGCTTAAGGCATTTCAGAGAAGGTGAGATAGATACTCCTGTACAAGAAGACTCATTAAGTGTTCTTGCCACCCACAAAAGCTTTCAGCGCAGAGAGAAGCACAGAAAAAGAGAACACAGAATGTCCATTTTTTAATTTAAGTCTTGAATGGAGGAACCAAGAATTCAAGCTTTTCTGGATATGGACAGATGAAGCCCATAATAAGAAGCCGATGATGTAAAGATTTATTTTGGATTAGTTGCTCTCTCTGCAAGTGGAAGGGGACTCAGCAGTCAAAAGGAAAAGAGGTCAGGCGATGTGGCAGATCTGTGGGCCTGGATGTAGGTTTTCTTGGGGGAACTAGAGTGAACTGGAAGGGTTTCTGGGTGAATCGGAATGGTTTCTTCTATTGACAGAGAGAAGAAAAAGAGGATATTAAAGCAAAACTGAATATTCTGAATGGGAAGCAGGAGACTATTTTTTATAGTTTCTTTTTGGCCATAGGTCACAGCTGAATGCTTCACAGAGTTCCTGGAAATTAGTCCCCAGGAGGGACAGACCACATCCAGGAGGATGCTGTAAAACAGCATTGCCATAAAATGGACCTTGTCTGCTTCTCCCCAGTCAGATGTGTGTCACAGTGCATGGGAGATGTCAAGTCCCCTGAAAATTCTCTGGAGTCCCACCTGTTAAAACAACAGGATTTTAGCTCTTACAAGTAAAACTCCCTTATATTCTCATATAAAGCATCTAGCTGGCACTGGTTTCACAGTAATAGATAAGGGAAGAAATCCTGCTGATCTTTTGCACAGACAAGCGATGTGTCAAGGGAAGCAAGCCACTGTTTCAGGCTTTTTTATGTAGCTGTCAGGAAGAAAAGGGGATTCCAAGCTAGGGTGGTAGTCAAGAATGAGTTTTGAGGACCTTTGGGAAGCTGAAGTAACTTGGATCTGCTCAATTAACTCTGTCTTGGAATCATGTCAGAGGTTAATGGAGTTGAAGGTGGGATGAGTAGTCTGATTTACCCACCCTAATATACCTCTCTGTATCCTCAGATGATATGAGAAAGGTAGGAAGTGCCATTTTCTCACTTACACCCTTCTGTTCTTTGGTTTTGGCTCAGGCTCTCACTTTTCTAACACGCTGGTGTTCCATGACTTGCCTACTTAAAAAAGTGGGAGAGTTCAATGCAAATTGTGTTTTAAATGACTATTGAGAATTATACAAAGCCCTGTTTAAGCAAGCCTAATTCATTATACTCCAGTCAGGCAGGAACAGACTTCCTGAAGCCTGAATTATCCCAGCTTCTGAGCCAGCATTGTTTTAAGTATATTGATTTAAAAACACATCTTAAGCACAAACAGTGCAAGTTAGATCATGCCTGAGATATACTGATTTAAACTCATTGCCCATTGGTTAGTGGGACTCTGAATTCAATGTGCCTACACACACACAGAGATGAGATGTGGGAAGAAAATATAAATTGCTCCACTTAATCTCCCTTAGGCCTCCCTCTTGCTGCCCCAGGGCCTACATGAACAGAAAACAGTTTAAAACATTAATGCCTACTTTTTTTTGTCACACAAATTACTATATTGCCAAATCCATCCTAACCCCACAGAATTAAAGTGACTCAGACCCCTTCCAGTTTGAGCCAGCCTGCTGATGCTGAGTGGGTTGCCTGCCAGGTACCACAAACTGGGACGAGGTGATTGCTCTTGTTCTGAAAGCCAGTAGCCTGGGAGCTATCAGGAGCTGGCTCGCAGTGCCTGCACGTGGGAGCTCCCCATTAAGGGAGTGCTTCTCCTTCCTCTGTGGGGGTAATGACATCAGTCCTTTCCCAACTCTGTCTGGGTTCATGCAAGGGGCAACAGCTTCAGTTTCAGCTCTACAGGAGAAAATTGATTGTCACTTCTTCCTTTTTCCCAGTAAAGTGCCAGGGCAGGCCGTGAAGCACATACAAGATTGGAGGGCCATAAGAATGCTGGAGATCCTGCTCCTTCTCTTCCTACTGTAATTTTGCTCCACTTAATCGTGCACAGTGATAAACAGAAAGTAGACAACTGAAAAGTCTGACAAAGGTGTCGAGTCTTGTGAATCCCTGAGATAGGCATCTCTGGCTTCCTGCTTCATACAAGAAAATACATAAAATCATTGAAGAGGTTAGTTTGGAAGGGAACTCTGGACCTCACCCAACACTCACTCAATTAAAAGATGATTTCAGACTTAGATCTAACTTTGACATTAGATCAGGTTCTTCAGAGCCTTGTCCAGTGAAGTAATTTTCAGTATCTACAAGGGTGGATATTTGCAATTTCTTTGTGCTACCCATTCCAAAGTTTTCTCGTCTTCCTTGTGCATTTTTCCCCTAATAATCTAATTGGAATTTCCCTAGATGCAACTTGTGTTCATTGCTCCTCATCGTTTTGCTGTGCACCTCCGAGAAGAATTTGGCTTCTTTACACTCAGTAAGTAGTAGTAGACGGAAATTAGATGCCCACTTAGCCTTCTCCAGCCTAATCAAACCCAGGTCCCTCAGTCCATGTACACCCTGGTCATGTTGGTGGCCCTCCTCCGGACTTGCTCCAGTTTGTCAATATATTCCTTGTGCTGAGAACCCCAAACTGGAGATGCTAGTCTAGAGATGACCTCAAAAGTGCTGAAATAGAAAGAAATGATCACTTTCCTTGACCCGCTGCCTAGACTTCTGTTGATGCAGTCCAGGAGACTGTTGGCCTTCTGTGCCACAAGGGCACATTGCTGGCTCATCTTCAACTTGTTGTCCACCATTACTCCCAAGTCCTCTTCTGCAAAGCTGCAGGACTTTCCATTTGCCTTTGCTGACCTTCATGAGGTTTCCCTGAGCCCATTTCTCCAGCCTGCTGAGATCCCTGTGAATAACAGTCATACCTACCAGTGCATTAATGACTATTCCCAATTTGTAATCATCCATGAACTTGCTGGAGGTGCACTCTGTCTTATCATCCAGGTTGTTAACAGAACTTAAATAGTATTGGCCTCTTTGTACCACTGACCACAAGCCTTTGAGCCCAGCAGCCCAGCCACTTTTTCACCCACCTGATAGTCCACTTGTTCAGTCTGTATCTCTCCAGTTTGGCTACAGGGATGCTTTGGGAGATTATTTCAAAGGCCTCACACAGGTCAAGGAAAGCAACACCTGCTGCCCTCTCCTTATCCACATAGCCAGTTGTCTCATCATAGAAGGCAGCTGGGTTGGTCTTGCATGATTTGCCTTGGGAGATCCATACTGTTCTCAATCACTCTCATGTTCCTAGATTTACCTTCCATAAGGTTTGCTTTGTAATCCCCAGATACCAAGGGTAGGCTGACTGAGCTAAAATTCCCAGGATCATTCTTCTGGCCCTTCTCAAAGATGAGTGTTTCATTTGTTTTTTTTTTTCAGGAATCAGGAATCTCCTCAATTGCCAAAACCTTTCAAAGAATGACTTGGTAATGCCATTGGCCACGTACCTCAGCATCCTTAGATGCATCTCCTCAGGTCTCATGGACTTTGTCTATTGAATAATCCCTGCTAAATAGGCAGGAGTCCATAGAAACCCTGTAAATTTGCATACCTAAGGTTCTCAGCATGGGACTAGGGCTCTGTGTGCACGTGCCTCACTGTCTTTGTGGTAAAGAGCCTGTCTAATTCCAACACAACCTTCCAAGATTTACGTGAGTAACCAAAGAATCAGTAGGAGTTTGTGCCTGGGCTTAGCAAAAGTGAGATCAGACACATCAGCCTGTGGTTGGAATTGATTGACTCGGCTTGCCGAGCTGAGATCTTTGTGCTGCAGCAGAGATCCTTCAGTATCGTAGTTCAATTTTCTCATCAGACATAACTAAAACATTATTCACTATGAGGGCGGTTGAACAGTGGGACAAGTTGTGCAGAAA